TCACTTTTGATCCATTTAATGCATCCTTGCTGAATAAAGGTATTAATTTCTAATTAAAAAGCTGAGTTCAGAATGACCATAGTACCACTATGATAAATGTCCATAAACTACCACAGTACTCTTATTTTTTTAGGTAAGGTAGGTAGAAATGGGAGAGAGCAATAAAGGATGTAGTCAAGGGTTAATTCATTAAGGTGGATGCCAAGCACTATAGAATAGACAGTATAGTGGCATGTGTGGATGTTGGAGGTTATTGTGTACTACAGGATAAACCACAACAACAGCAAACCCACAAAGGGACGACCAGACAGACGGCAGTGTGGGCCTCACAGAGAGTATATTCCTTTTGATCTGCTGAGTCTCTCTCTTTCTCCATTTCCCATGTTCCACTTTCACTTTTTTCCCTTAAGGTCATCAGTGTGAAATCACAACCAAATGTATTTTGTTGCCTTTGAAACTCTTGCTGATGTTGCCAGCTGCTGCCGCTCGAAGGAATAGTTCACACAAAAATGATGGAATCATTTACTCACCCTGTTCTCATTCCACCCCGCCTGTCTTTCTTTCTTCTGTAGAACACAAAAGTGTGATTAAAGAATGGCAAAATTAGAATTTTGGGTGAACTATCACTTTAAATACCCTCCCTTTTCTCTGTGCGCACACTGAATATACTTTTAACAAATGAAACTGCAACTCAGCACTTTAACGAAACATCCTTCCTGGTATCCTCATAAAAATCGAGTTTTCCTCTTTAAAAATGTTCAACTTTGCCACACAGTGACACTTGACCCTTCAGCATGCCCTTGGCTAAAATGCAGTAGCACAGTATAGCAGAACTTTGCTTTGCTGAGTGTTTTAGAGCTCAAAGCTGCAGTGAAGGTAAAAACTGCTTATGCTGAACCAAAGTGTGAGGAACTTCTATATGATGTCATTTGTCCTCAATGTTTGTGACTGCTGCAGCCGTGAGATATTCTTAAACTGGGAATGTAACCTGACACAAACGTCAAGTCCCAGCATGATACACAAACTCTTTCTTCACGCTGTGCAAAGTACAACAATTTCACTTTGATGCACGTCACCTAATTAAAAGGAGAAGATTTAAAGTTACATCCAGAGTTAAATGCTAAGTATTGTTTGCTGCAGCAAAAAAAAAAAACAAAAAAAAAAACAGACAGTAATTAAAAAACACTCTGGAGAGAAACGACCCAACATCTGTTCCCAGCGTTAATCTAATTGATTTGAGTTGTGTCACTGCATGGGGTGACTTGAGTCTTCGGGAGACTTTGGATATCAAATAGGGCTGGGTAAAAAATATCGACATCTCGATATTAATCGATTCTCTTTTTTATGGAACGATAACGATTCTTAAATCCCAAGAATCGATTAGAGTAACCTGTTTTCAGTTACTGGACGGAACATTGAAGGGCACTTCCCATCCAATAAATCACAATAAGCATTGTGCTTTGGTGCTTTTAATATGAAACAAAGTCTCAGGTTTCAATTTATGTCCATTGTATTGCAGGTGTAATTTTAACAGTTGTATGCTATAGCTTACAATATTATAGTAATGTAGTACCAAATGACTCATTTGTCATATAAATGACTCATGTATATTTTACAGCATTGTAGTTGAGAGATTTTTTTTCCTTAAGAAAATTAGGCAAGTACTGTACCTGATATATATCCAAAATAATCGATATTGAATCGAATCGAATCAAATTGGTAATCGAATCGAAAGCTTGCGAATCGAATCGAATCGTGAAATTTGTGTCAAAACCCAGCCCTAATATCAAATACTATAAATGCAAGGCATACAATGCAAACTTCCCGTCCATGTCCAATATTCTTTAATTGTGTTATGTGCTGTGAACACGTTCTTTTTTTTGTAATGTCTTTGTTTCAAAACCTGTGAGCTGCCTAGCTAGACAGCATTTTAAGGCATTTTATGTGAACAGTACTTTGTGACCGATTTCATTGCACTTTTATAACTGAATTTTTATTTATTTATTTACTTTTAAGTTTGTTCATATCAAAGCAGCAGTATACGGCAAAGCAGATGACTGGTTTTTGAAGCAAAGTTTATACAGTATTTTGTGTCCATCTACACTCTGTTTTAAGCTTTGATGGGTTTTTCTTCAATTGGATGGAGATGTTTTTAAAGTTGGCCATGTTTTCATGTAGCCTATGTTGCCACTTTGGCCTACAAATCACCATTGGATGGAAGGTTTACTGAGTTTTGGAGACAAAGTGCAACCTTGCAGTAATATCTGAACATTTTCTCTGAAGAAAAGCACAAGACTCTTTAGAAGTGTAATACAGCTTCTGTCGGCCTGCTGCATTTTATTGTTCTTGTTTATTTTATTTTATGTTTTAGTGTAGTTTAGTTTATTATTTTATTTTATTATTAAATATCATTTTATTATATACATTATTTTATTTATTCATTCATTTTATCAATTTTATTAGTTTTTTCTTTATTTTTTTGTTTTGTTTTTATCTGTATTTTTTTATGTTGTTTTCCATTAGTTCCATACAGCAGATTACTTGTTAAAATGCTTTATTTATTTCAAAAAATAAAAATGGGTCATCATGTTATTTTCAATGCTTGATTGCTGATATCGAGAAAGCAGAATGGCTGTTGGCCGATATATGATACGATTTTGTTATGGCGAATTAGACACATTTTGTTTTCTTTCTTTGTTTTTTTTTTCACTGTTTTCCACTGCTGTTCATTCCCTGCCTCTGTCTTTCCCTCGTCTGAATATCTCATCGTTTTTAAAAAACCCACGCAGCTGGGTATGGTGGACACCTATTGATATGTTTATTGCTTGCAGTTTCCCCTCTCGTTCCAGAGAGAGTGAGAGAGATGGTGGAGGTGTGATAAATGTTGCGGGGCGTTTGGGTCTGAAGTGATCGTGCCAAAGCAGCGCAGCAGTAGTACGGAAGATTGATTTCTCTTATGCAATTCTCCCCAACGTCTGCGATTAATGACCCTGTACGCTCGCCATCCATCAGCATTTTCCCTTGCTGAACTACACCAGCCCTCATCCAGGCTCCAAAAGCCCACCTATGGCACCACGGCATACCCCTCGGCCGCGCGTTAGCGTGTTGCTAATGCTCTAACATATGCACCTCTTTCTGTCAGATTAATAATGCTACTGTTACCCTGCACCTGTCCAACAGGCAAATCCCCTACCCGTCCAACACCTTCCCTCGACAGGGGGCTTCATGTTGGACACGGACCCTCAGTGGCCGAAAGCCAAAACATTGCTTGATCATACATATGTCTCTTCTTTTATAGCTATTCTAGTGAGGCTTAACCACGTACAGTAGGATTTACAGTCTTAAATCCGCTTAGATGACACTTTTAGATGGGATGGCAACATAGATTAGCTATAATCTGGGCTACATGAGCAAAGGATTTGGGGTTTTGGGTAATTTGTTGTTATTTTTCAATTTGCTCAACTAAGAGTTTAGCATCAGTGCAAATCTTCTGCAGAGAACCTGAAATGAGGCTTCGGCTTCATGTTTACATTTAGGTATAGACAACAAAGCAGTTATGGATCTTTTTTTTAACTTTCCTAGCAAACTGTCTAGTTTGCTTGATCTTCAACAGAATGCAGTTGAATAAGCAATGCTTCAAACTTTGTAAGTCTAAAATTCCCATGTGTAGGAGCCACTGATGACTGAACCATTGAAGCTGAAAAACGCTTATGTCTGTCCTAGACGTGACACAGTTCTCACAATGCTCAAATTGCTCTGCACCCAGAAACTCTCAGAACTTTGAGAACGAAAGTGCCCTAAGAGGGCTGCCATGATGTAAACTATCTTAAGACATTAAAACTCCCTTTCACATGCGGCTCCCTGAATATTCACCCAAGGCCAAAGTCAAAAACCAGTTGCCTGGCTCTTTTATAATTTTCGTCTAATCTAGAGGAATTAGTGTGTGAGATTGTGTCCAACAACCCCACTGGATCCACTGGCAAGTCTCTGATACTGTTTGTTTCACTGTTCGATATTGTTCTAGGATTTCATATACAACAGAGGATAGTTGTAATGCTTAGTTGTAGCATTTTTTTATTTATTGAAAATTCTTGCAATTTTGATTACAAAAGTGGTGATCTGCTAAAAAAAAAAAAAAGTTTTTTCAAAGATCTTTGACACCATTTAGAGAGCAGGTTGTCCAAATATAATGCTGAAATATAAGGGATGCTTAATGCTGTAAGTAATAATGTACTGTACAGTGAGACAATCATTATTGAAGGTTGTTTTATTTTTAATTATTTAAAAAAATATATTGGTTTAAATTATTTTGTGAAAAGAATTGTATAGAAATATTTGACTGCAAAATGCAACAACTGACCAATCAGAATCAAGTATTTCACAGAACCATGTGATAATAATATTTAATGAGTTTAGATTGCTTTATAATTTTTTTAATATATTCCATTCAAAAGTTTGGGGTCAGTTTTATTCAGCAAAGAAGGGTTAAATTGACCAAAATCAACAGTGAAGTCTTTTATATTGTCAAAGTTTTATTCATCAAAGAATCCTGGGAAAAATAAAATGTATCACAGTTTCCACAAAAATATTAAGCAGCACAACTGTTTTTAACATTGATGATAATAAGAAATGTTTCTTGAGCTGCGAATCAGCATAGAATGATTTCTGAAGGATCATGTGACACTGGAGTAATGATACTGAAAATTCAGCTTGGCACCACAGGAATAAATTACATTTTTAAATGTATTAAAATCGAAAACAGTTATTTTAATTTATAATGATATTTCACAATATTACTGTTCCTTTTATATTATTATTATTATTACTGTTAAGTGTAATTTTGATTTTAAAAAATGCAGCCTTGGTGAACAGAAGAACAGTGTACATATATCTCTTTTGATAATTTTTTGTAATATGACTCATGACAAATTGACAATGTAATGAAAATGTCCCATCATATTTATCTCGGACCTTCCCTTCCTTTCTGTTTCTCCCCACAGATCCAGTCAACGGTCCCCAGAACGTGAACGTGGTGGACATCCGCGCCCGTCAGCTGACCCTGCAGTGGGAGACCTTCGGATATGCAGTGACACGCTGCCACAGTTTCAACCTGACCGTCCAGTACCAGTATGTGTTCAACCAGCAGGAGTTTGCCGCTGAGGAGCTGATACCGACCTCCTCTCATTATACTCTGAGGGGACTCAGGCCTTTCGTGACGGTCAGACTACGGCTGGTGCTGGCCAACCCTGAGGGCAGCAAGGAGAGCGAGGAGATCGTCAAGCAGACGGAGGAAGACGGTGAGTGGGATTAAGATGGTGGAATGGGATAGATGTTGTAAGTTGTGAAACCTTTCATTTTTACTGGCTTTAATTAAGGGGGGTCAGACCCCTCAAACTAAGGATTTGTCGGTCCAGCACTCAGTATTAGTATCTGGGGTTTTTCCTTTTTTTTTTCTTTTTCTCACAGCGAAAATGTTTGCAATGTTTGCATTGTAAGACATGTAACGTCCATCCCTACTCCAAACCCTTCCATAGTTTGATTACTTCACTAATTACCGTGTCTGAACAGTAATCACATTATGATGATCACTTATGACTTTATTTCTGAAACCCATCATCCTTTAGCAGATGGACAACACAAGATGCCAAACTGTCCATCCGGTTGTAAATTCAATAGATCACTCATTCTCCAGAACATGATTTCACTCTTTTATTCTTTTCTGTAAATGTTACAAAAATTCATAGTAAGGCAAGGCAAGTATATTTATATAACACACAGTGGTAATTCAAAGTGCTTTACAAAAAAAAAAATATTAAAAAAATTGTAATCATAAGTTTCATAAATGCTATGAAAGTAAGAAGTAAAAAATTGAAGAAAAGAGAATAAGCTAAAATGCAATAAGATTCTACATTAAAATGAATGAGTAATTTGAATAATATGAGTGTTTTATATGCTGCATGCAAAAAAATTAATTGTGTTGTTTTCTGTTAAACTTGAGTTCACAGATGAGCAATTTTGTATTCTTTTCTAATTTAATTCATTTTGTTTATTTACAAATAAAAGAAATGCACTAATGCTTGTTTACATGGTCCTTGTGGTTCACTTCATATAAAAGAAGTTATAAAAGAAGACCTGACAGAACATTACCATGGCTACTCAACAATAAATGATCAAATAAAGAAATGGACATGTAATATGTGGAAATTATTTTTATCTTCTGATAAGAATGAGACCATGGAGTGCTAGAAGAGACATGAAACTAGCACAGTATAGGAAATTGATTGCTAGGCACAACAATTATACAGTTTAGTGGTCATTATTCAAACAATATTTGATTATCCAATCAGAATCAAGTATTCCAGAGAGCCATGTTAACATTTGTTAATCTTTTTTTTCCCACTGTACACTCTTTCTCTCCCTTTATTTATCTGTATGGTTTCATTTGCAACCATTGTTGTATTGAATACATTTTTCTATTTGTATACTGACAGCAAAACTCTCAAAACAGCTATATTTGAAATGTAATATCTATTGTTATATTCTTTAATACCTAAGTGCTGGTTAGGCTTATTAGAAAACTTCCTGGGTAAGAGTTATAATTGTGAGCAGTATAAATACTTTGATTGTATTCTTCTTGAATTGATATCTTTTTACTTGTAGGTTGTTTGAGGAACATTTTAAATGGAGCTTTGTACAGAAATCATTAACACTTGTTCTTTCATTGAATCTCACTAGACATTTGAATTAAACAAGAACAGAAGTAATAACTACTAACCTTCACTGGAAGAATTGCACATGTACAGAAAGATTGGAGGTTAATGTTTCTGTCCAATGTTCAATGATGCCAATATTCAGCATCCGGGACTCTGCTATTATATCTAATGTTGACAGCTGTAGATTTGGCAAATTAGTTTGACAACATGCATGGCCCTTATTCTCAAATACGAAAATGAGAATAGTTCAATGATCTCAGCCCATTATTTCAATTATCCAGCATTTTAATTAATGACTCTTACCTCTGGTTCTTGAGAGCTGAAGGGCCTTTGGTTTAGTTTTTTAAGTCTTTTTCTCAGAGCACTTGTGTGTTCTTTCCAGCTGAATGCATTTCTGAAGCTTTTCAGAGGGCAGCGGTGGAAATTCAGTGATTTCATTTCGGGAAATGCTATTCAATAGTGGTCATTTACAGCCTCTTACTTTTGCACTGTGGTCAAAAATAAACAGTGTAGATTTCCAAAAAATAGTTTAAAAGCCGGTAAATTCTGTTCTTGGTTTCATTTTTATAGCCTAAGGGATTCTTACTGCCTCCATTTAAAATGTTCCTCAAACAGCCTTCAAGTAAAAAGATATCAATTCAAGTAGAAGAAAATCAATGTATTTTAGTGCTCACAATTATATCTCTTACCCACGAAGTTTTCTAATTTATTTATTTATTTAGTCATTTAGCAGACGCTTTTATCCAAAGCGACTTACAAATGAGGACAATAAAAGCAGTCAAAACTAACAAAAGAGCAACAATGTTAATTCTAAATAATTCTAAACAATTCTAATTAGGCTAAACCAGCACTTAGATATTAAAGAAAAAAAAGTGAGAGAAAAAGAGTGTACAGTGAGAACAAAAAAAAAAAAAAGATTAACAAATGTTAACATGGTTCTCTGGAATACTTGATTCCGATTGGATGATCAAATATTGTTTGTATAATGACCACTAAACTGTATAATTATTGTGCCTAGCAATCAATTTCCTATACTGTGCTAGTTTCATGTCTCTTCTAGCACTCCATGGTCTCATTCTTTTCAGAAGATAAAATAATTTCCACATATTACATGTCCATTTCTTTATTTGATCATTTATTGTTGAGTAGCCATGGTAATGTTCTGTCAGGTTTTCTTTTATAACTTCTTTTATATGAAATGAACCACGAGGACCCTGTAAATTAAAACAACGCCAAAGGCAAGTGATCTGTATTCCCTCTTAATGTACATTATATTTTGTACTTAAAGTTGGTGCAGTTGTTATCAGTTGATTTAGTTCGGGAAAGTTAATTCTGCTAGTAAAGGAAACCAGTGTACTTTTTAAATGAACCCATATTTAATTAAAACCCGTGTACACATTAAATTGTTGTTCAGTAATAGTTAAACTTTATAAAAATCATCATTGTTATACCTTTGTAAAAGATTTTGAAAGTATTTTAATATTTTAATAATGCATCCTCTCATATCTCAGAAGTTTTAATGCTCACAGCGAAAGTGTTTGCATTGTAAGACATTAGATTGTCTTGTGTATTTGAGAATCACTACAGTTCTGTACAGAAGTCAGATCCACTCAGAGAAGTAAATGGAAACAGAATTGTTTAGACTGTAGTACTGCTCTGCTCTTCCCGAAAGAAAAACAACAAATATGATGAAAGCCGTCCTCCTTTAATCCATCCGTTCCATTGATGTGTTGCAGTTAAAAGGAAATCCCAACGTAGAGCATGTTAAAGCTTCACAGTCTGTGAAAAGACACAGTGTTTCTCAGACGGAGAGAAGGTTTGCAAGCGGCGCTTAATTCGAAAATTTCCCAGAGGGAAGCGCTCAGCCTCCGTTTACAATTAATTTCTCCCAGCTTGTTTTTAATGCTGAGCAATAAAACCGTGTGAAAATAAAGCCTATTGTCAAGCCTTAGATTATTAGATTATAGTGTATAATTCAAGCGTTCGTTTTTCATTTTCATGTTCTGATGAGTCTGTTTTGATCTGGATAGAACTCTTTTGGCTATTCAGTATCTGCTCTTGTCTGCCCCACTGATGTTTTTCCTTTTTTGTGTGTTTTTTGCATATGAAAACCTATAATTGCTGTCCTTTGTGTTAGCAAATTGATGGACAGCTGCAACATATCAATAGTGAAGCAAATTTCTCTCTCTGTGTAACCTTATATGGGGATAATTGCAGGAGGGTGAAATTAACATGAGGATGGCAGACCGTTTTTTACCTTATTAGGTCAACAATAACACCGACCCTGTACTTATGGAAACCTGCTTGCCTGTAAACAAGAATAGAGTGAATATGTTGTTTGTGATTTATTCAGAGACAGAAAATAATCAGACGATAATAATTACGCAACCTATTAAAAGTTATTTGTATCTGAGAGGGACAAGCATAAAGGGAAAAAATTGTTTCCTCCACCTCAAACTTAATGAAACATCACTCATAGTCTCCAGACGAGAAGCTAATCAGCTGGATTTATACGTAAAGCAACATTTCTCGCACATGCATGGTTATATAGAGGAAATGATAGCGGACGGAGGACGGGAGCTAATTATATTTCATTGCAACCGTGATTTAATGTGCTTGTTGGCTAATGCCCAATCAAGCAATGTGAAGAATTGTTGAAAATATAATTTAACTGGCCTCACTTTGCAGTACAATATCTGACATCAGCACCTTGGTGAGAGAGCGTTATTCACCTTTTTTTGATTAGCTCAATTCTTTTCCCATTGACTATTCAGCTTTTAATAGCAAATGAGGGCAAATAACTCAACCTCGCTACCTTTTAAAGATGAACTTGTTCGCATGCTTCAGATTAATAATCTGAAATAATGAAATGAGATAAACTCCATTCAGTGAGAAAAAGGCAACTTTTCAGCATACTAGAAGTGAGATTTCCAAAATACAAACACAACGCCAATGGCAAATGATCTGTATTCACTCTAAATTAGATTATATTCATATCCATTTTCTCTTACAACATAAAGTTTGGTGCAGTTGTTCTCATACATTAGTTCAGAAAATTATTTCTATTAATAAAGCAAACCAGTGTACTTTCTAAGTGAATCAGTATTTAACTGAAACTCATGTGCACATTAAATTGTTGTTCAGTAATGGTGAAACTTTGGAAGAAAATGTCATTATTGCACAAATCATAATTTTATGGACATTGGCTAGACATGATTTTAATGTTTTAATAATGCATCCTCTCAGATCTCAGCAGCTGTAATGCTCCCAGTAAAAGTGTGTTATTTTAAGATATCTGATTAGCTCAAACCATTTCACATTAAAGAATACATTCCAAAAACTATTTAGCTTTTAATAGTGTTTTATGGCAAATATCTTAACCTTTCTACCTTTTGAAGATGAACTTAGTCGTATGCGATATAAACTAACAGAAAAGATTAGATGAGATCATCTCTTTTTTCTCATTAATTGGAAGAAACAACTAAACATCTCAAGGCATAACTTAATACTTTGAACTATTACAGAATTAAGAGAACAAAAAAAAAACAAGAACTTACAAACACAGTATTATATGCATAGACATATTTATATACACATCCAAATAAAATAAGATAAAGCAAACCAGTGTAAAAAAAAAAGAAAAATTTATTAAAGTTCTTGTACACATTACATTGTTGTTCAGTAATTAATCATAATTGTGTGGACATTGACTAGAAATTATTTGTGTGCTTTATTAATGAATCCTCTCAAATCTGAGGACAGTGAAAGTGTTTGTGTTTTAAGTTATTAGATCAGCTTAAATCTTTTCCCATTGAAAAATAGATGCTTAAGACTATTCAGCGTTTAATAATAAATGAAGGCAGATATCTCAACCTCTCAACATTTTGAAGATGAGCCAGTTACATGCAAAAGAAATAAACAGAAAGAATAAAATGAGATTAAATCTGTTCAATGAGGAAAAATAAACATTCTCTTTTGTTAAATAAATGAGATTCTCAAAATAAAAATACAGCTAGATTAGCTTTTCCTCAATGAACTAGTTCATGGATTAGGTTTGTGGGTTGTGTCTGTGTTAATGAAATGCTGCATGAACAGCATGTGTTGTTATTCTTTTCTTCACCGTTCAAGACTACCACCAGCTAATCTGTTTGTGCCCAAGCTTCCTCTCCCGCTTGCCCCGTTACGGCCCTGCCACGCTCATCTCTTTAATCTGCCCTCCCAATTAGCCACGACTTAGTGCAAAGCAAACAGCAGTGCTAGGGCTGCTAAGTTGGACTAAACGTCCTTTTAGCTAAGTCATTAGCTCTCTTTGCACACACTGTCAGGAACAGTCTGACTCATTAGTGTGTCATCGCAAACAGTCAAGTCAGAGACGCTAACCAAGACTGAGAAATGAAAGACAACTAGCCTCAAGTTAACATACTGTATGTGCTATTGCTAAACCGGGCCAAATTAGCACATTTGCATGCTAATTTATGAAATCGTCAAGTCATAGCATCTCTGAAAATGCTATGCTGGCATATGAGAGCAGGATGAAGCTGTGTATGGATAATGACATCTTGAAAACAGGTTTTTAGGGTGTTAATGATGTTCTAGCAAGAGTATATTTGGAAAACTTGCAATGTGTGCCAGAGGGAACGTGCGCACAAAAATATGCAAACAGACGCACGCATATGTGCGCAGTGGTACTCGTAGCACTTGTTAACACCTCTCGATACCGAAGGGTAGCAAAGCTGTTACAATTCACACTTCGAACATTGCGGCTGAGGTGTGTTTGACATAGTTTTGCTTCTTTAGTCAGCCAGTCTCTGCTCGCTTCACTTTACCTTCCACCCAGCAACACAAGCCATTTCTGTCACCCTACGTCATCTCAAAACAATCACGTTTTATGTCAAGGTATTAATGCAGTGGTACAGTATTTGAATTATAGATGTTGACTAAACATGTTTTTGAGTTGCTAAATGAGTTTGAATGTGTGTTTGTGTTACTATACTAGTTCCTGGCCCCATTCCTATGGAGTCCATCCAGACAGGCCCATACGAGGAAAAGATCTTCATGCAGTGGAAGGCCCCGAATGAAACTAATGGAGTCATTACACTCTATGAGGTGAGAAATTTTTATTTATATTTTATGTATTTATAATGTATATATGTATATAAATATAGGGTTTCTGTAGGTCTTAAAAAGGTCTTAATTTGCCCTTCCACACATTAAGGCCTTAAAAAGTCTTAAATCAAAACAGAAAGTCTTAAATTCATAAAGTCATGGCATTAAACGGTGCATGCATTGCAAAAAAAATGAATATCTTCCTCAGTATTTTCAAAACAAATGTGACCCTGGACCACAAAAGCAGTCTTAAGTCGCTGGGGTATATTTGTAGCACTAGTCAAAAATACATTGTATGGGTCAAAATTATTGATTTTTCTTTTATGCCAAAATTCATTAGGATATTAAGTAAAGATCATGTTCCATGAAAATATTTTGTAAATTTCCTACTTTTCAAATAATTGTATCTCGGCCAAATATTGTCCTATCCTAACAAAGGGATAGGACAATAAAAGCTTATTTATTCAGCTTTCAGATGATGTATGAATCTCAATTTCGAAAAATTGACCCTTATGACTGGTTTTGTGGTCCAGGGTCACAAATATTCAAACATCCTTAAATCAAGATGTCTCTAGATTTACTTGAGATGCAAAAGGAAAATGAAGTCTTAAAAAAAACAAGATTTCCAGATTCCAGTGGTTGGGACCAGAGGTATTAATTGTTATACTATCTTTGCTAAAATGAATTAAAAAATAATGTAGATAGGTTGGAAGTTGCATTTTCATGCTTGGGACTGAAATGTTGCTGTTGCTGATGTGTGTATGTGTGTGTCTCAAAACTATATATCAAAGTAAATTTATGTGGTAAAATTAGGTGGCAGGATACTAATTTGGTAAAAAATATTGTACAAAAATAAGTGATTTTTCTGTCGCAGGAAATGTTGTTTGACAGCCCGGATCTCTCGCAAATTAATGATTTGTTAGTCAATGCATAGAATATCCGCATTACAAGCAAGGAAATGACAAAAACAAATTACATCCAGATTTTACTTTAATGTGTCTGTTTGAGTGGGCTGGATGCACAAACGAGCCTCACTATCTCTTTGATTTGATGAGGAAGACAAACCACGTGCAAGACTGTGCATATCCAGGTACATCATTAAAACGGGGTTACAGCGTATGCCATCTTGGTGATAAGAAGATTGACAGAATTTACTAAATGTATCGAGCGGACACAATGCAGTCCCATTTGGCCAGATAATTGCTATAATAGCCCTCATTGATTTAATTAGAAGCGTCCAATAGAATTATCCAAGAGATCTGAGCAGCCGTATGCCTCCTCTCCTCGCTTTCAGTGATTCAGACAAATTAGATTTAGGACAAAGAGCTCGGAAGCAGGAAAAGGAAGGTGCGGAGATGAATGCAGTGGAAGGGTCACAAAAGGATATGGTTTTGTTCGTGGCAAGCAAAGCTTTAGGAAAGTTTGGAGACTCATGGAAATAAAATAGGACTGCAACAACCTGCAATAATAACATTAAAAATTGATAGTGTTTTTTTTTTTTTCTTCATTTATTTTGTTTTTGAGAGTGTGAAAGGTTATTTGCAATATGCTGTATAAGATCAAATTAATAGTTTAAAGGGGTCATATGATGCTGCTAAAAAGAACATTATTTTGTGTATTTGGTGTAATGAAATGTGTTTATGCGGTTTAAAGTTAAAAAAACACATTATTTTCCACATACTGTACATTATTGTTTCTCCTCTATGCCCCGCCTTTTTGAAACGCGTCGATTTTATAAGTACAGTATATAGTATTATATAATATACTGTATATGTATAGTTAATGATTTTATTGCTATTTATGTTATGTAACTATAAATATATTAAAAAATATGTAGTTTGATATGATTGCTTAAGGCTCAACCCTTGTAGGAATGAACCAGTAACCCTCTGGTTACCAGCCACTAGGCCACAACACCCTATGTATAATGTATGTGAAGAAGTACTGGGTGGTCCATTGATCTACACTTATAAGAGCAGCTCAGCAGCCTGCTAAATATGACACGCACACATCGCAGTGGGTTTCAGATCAGTTTCTGAGTACCTGAGATGTGTCCTGCATCAAAATTCATACTTTTGATCAAATTTCCTCTCTCTCTCTCTCTCTCTCTCTCTCTCCTCTCCCTTCATTTCACTGCACAACAGCCTCCTGTTATCAAACCATCAAAGCCTTTCAGAAATTAATTGCTTTGCTGACAAAATAAGAATGTGCGTATGAAAGTGCAGGGAAAGTAAGACAGGGGAAGATCCTCAACAGCTCCTTATTAATCAACACTGAGACGTGTAAAGCGAAGGTGTCTTTTGTCCTCCTGCTTCTTTATTTGTCTTTATCTCCATGCAAATGAGGATGAGTAAATAGCAGAACACTTCTGCAAACGCGGCTGTTTGGTTCTTGATCTTTGTTTTGTTTAATTTGCGTGACATGTTGTGAGTTTGCGATGACGTGATGTCTTCCACCCCTCCGCTGTGTCTCATACGGCGTATCTGACGGTTTCCTGTCTGGAGTTACAAGGAAACAAACCACCCAATTTTTTTTCAAGAGAGAACCTGTCTGATGGTTTTTCTTTGGAGGTGTGATGGACAGGGGCATTGACACTCTCTGCGGGTGCTATTATTTGTTTAAACATACTTTAAAATTAAAATGACATTTGAGTTTAGCCGGGGGTGGTTTTGGCAACAAAAATGTACCATATTATTATACCATGTTTTTTGCACCATTGTAGATTAGTTTTGCTTCGTTTTTTGGTTATAATACACTAACAAAAATGTACCAAAAGGTACCATATTATACTATATTATACTATGGCTTTTTGAACTGCTGTCGTGGTATTTTAGTCGTGGTGTCATGGTGTCAAAAAGTATTCTTGAAAATACCTTGGAGTACCATATAAAAACTATGGTACATTAATTTCAGTACCATCAGTGTGCCATGTACTTTTTTTGTAAGGGACATGATACCATGGTAATTTTTTCATTGTAAGACTTTTAGACATCTACCATGGTAATACCATAGTGTTCTTTGCTTTTTTAAAAGGAATTAAAATTGTTATTTGGCAAGGACGCATTAAAAGTGACAGAAAGGACATTTATTATGTTACAAAAGATTTCTATTTCAAATAAATGCTGTTCTTTTGAACTTTCTATTCATCAAAGAATTCTGAAAATAAATACATTGCGGTTTCCACAGAAATAATAATCAGTTTTTCGGTTTTCAACATTGATAATAATAAGAAAAGGTTTACTGAGCATCAAATCAGCATATTAGAATGATTTCTGAAGGATCATTTGACAATGAAGACTGGAGTAATGATGCTGAAAATTAAGCTTTGCATCACAGGAATAAATTATATTTTTAAATATATCAAATAAAAAGTTGTTTTAAATTGTAATAATATTTCACAATATTGCTGATATTGGTGAGCATAAGATACTTTTTTTTTTTCTTTTTTTTTTATCGACCCCAAACTTTTAAAAAAGTAGCGTAAATACTATAGTGTATAAATAAAATAATCATAATCAGTGCAGTGGTATTATTCAAAGTATCCAGGTATAATAATTTGACATCGATGTACTATGGTACCACCATACTTTTTTTATAAGTAAAATCTCTTTTTCTCTCTCTAAATAAGTCAAAGTAAGGAGCTGTTGTTCTGTGTGCTGATGTAGTGGGGAAGGTTTTCACCTCTAACAAAGATAAACAGCCTGAGGAAAACCTGTACACATCCCACTTCCTCCCTTCATGGTGCTATTTTCATTTCCATCAATAAGTGCTTGAGTTGCAAGCACTCGAGTTAAGAGAACCAGTAACCCCTATCTCTCTAGAGCGGCTAAACCCGTTTAATGGGCTCATGATCCTGCACGTCTGGGTCTAGAGACAGCTGGAGGGAGGTCTAAATCCGGGTTAATGTCGAGAGTGCAGTTTTTATTTACCGTTTGTCATGTCATGAGACGGTGAGATTCAAGCACCGTTATTTTGTCCCAAACAGCAGACATTAGTGTATCATTGCTAGTATTCAGAAGGAAGTTGTTAACAAGGTACTGGGTGGATGCAATGAGTTGGTCACTAGATTCAACAAAGTTTGTGAGGTTTATGCCATCTTTAAAAGATATTCAAAGTTTTAGCAGCAAATAAACAAATTATCCATGAGCTTTGAGCCATGAGCATTGTGTATTTTCTGATTTTTTTTTTCTGATTATTTTCTGAGTCATATCTGTAAAGAAATGTTTTTATTTTTGGGGGGAATGAAATTTGTATCACAAAGTCTATAGACATTTTCCACTATTTTCATTCTCTCTCATGCCGGACAGTGGAGAATGCTGTGCCATTACTTTAATAATTTGACTGTATGTTATCACTGTTTTCAGATTTATTCTCCATAAAAAACATTTAAAACCACACTGTATTTTAGATGATCGTGGTGGGCAATGTCTAAGTGGGCAGTTCTTGATCAAGTCTGATTATATGAGACTATGTTACTAGTATTGTATTACTAGTATTTGCATAAGTGCTGTATTTTTTGTTTTTCTGCTTTATTTTATTCTGTTTTATGCCTTGCAGAACGGAGTGGAATATAACATATTATTCTCTTCACCAAATGTTGAGTAACCTCATTTCTGTCTGGCATCCCAAACCCTCATAACTCACCCTCAAACTTGCAAAATAGTAAATATTCTGTGTTCTCTGCCAGTCTGTTTACCAGCTGTAAATCTCAGGAGATGCTGACTTGAACGAGGCCGAGGAATTACTAACCGAGCCCAATCAAGCTTGGGTTTATAGCTTTGCATTTCATGTGTCTGCTTGTATAGCAGTTGCCTTGGATTTCAAGTTCTTAAAAAAAATTCTGAAGGGTTGAAAGTCCATGCAGGATGAATTTTAGATGTTTAATTGCTTTGAGCTTCATTGAAGTACTTTTTTGTGACGTGTGCAAGTGTGGTTGTATGCTTGTTTGTGAGCAGCCTACAGTATATGCCTACTGTCTACATAGGCATCTGTCTTCTATG